CAGAGAGAGACAGAGCATGAACGGGGGAGGGGCAGAGAGAGAGGGAGGCACAGAATCGGAAACAGGCTCCAGGCTCTGAGCCATCAGCCCAGGGCCCGACGCGGGGCTCGAACTCACGGACCGCGAGATTGTGACCTGGCTGAAGTCGGACGCTTAACCGACTGCGCCACCCAGGCGCCCCTAGGGCCCTTTCTTTACGCTAAACCTGGTAAGAAGATCTCACGAGCTTGGTCAAAGGGGGTGTGCTTTGGCTGACCCCCCCCCTTCCCGAGCGGTGCCCCCGAGACGTGGGGGTGCCTGGGCGCTCCCTTTAAGGGCGCTGGCGATTTGGGGAAGAGTCTCCCAGCAAGCGGCCGGCTGGTGGTCCTGGCATGGTCCTGCCCTGATGGCCCGACTCTGTTTCTGACCGGCAGGCTCAGGCACAGTCCCTCGGGAGCTGCCCCTGCGCGCTCCGGCCTCTACCACTACCCCCTCGAAAGTCAGCTGGCCCTAGACCTGTCCGACAGGCGGGCCACGCCACTGCCCAGTGCGGGGCGCTGGTCTCCAAACCTGTGAGGCTGAGGGTCGTGCCTGCCGCCGTCCTTCCGCGCCCACCCGGATCACCCAGCCCTGGTTGCCAAACAAAACTGTGACGCACGGGGTATTAGACGGATTGCACGTTTGTAAAGCGCCTAGAGGGGCGTCCGAACGTGCCACGTAGTGACTGTTGTGTCGACAGCACAAACGATACGGTTTGGAGCTAACTGGGTGCCCCGTGGGTGCCCAGTGATTTGGGGTTGGGGGTCTTTTTCCGAACTACCTGCTCTCCCCAGAATACTGTTCCCCCATTCAAGCCTCACTCCCATTCATTTGCATACCCAAGCTGGCTCAGGCTGAAGCGATTGTGGGAACAAAGTTTCAACCTGTCGGAAACAGCTGAGAGGAGAGTCAGAGACCAAATATTAGTGAAAAGGAAAGGTCTGCCCTTGGAGAAAGAGAGTCGGGGGAGCGGCCACAGCATCCTACCCAGAGAAAATGCCAGAAAGGGTTGGCTGGGAGAAGTCTGTCTACCATGTGCATTCCTGGGACAGGATGGGGGGGGGGGAGGAGTCGGGGAAAGAGGAACCCGCTCCTCTTGTGCTTTGGTCAGGCTACACAGGAGTGAGGGGAGACCCTCCAGAAGCAGGGGGGAGGAGAGGATGTAGAGGTAGAAACAGCTCGCATTCCCCTGAGAGTGACTCGAGCCGCGCTCCCCGGCCATCCTGGCCGTGCTGCCTGGTGCTGGATGATCCGAGAGGCTGGGGACACCGAGCCGGACCCAGACATTCCATCCCACAAGCCAGGGCTTGGCTGGAAGGAGGGGCAGGGCGGGACACTCTAGCAGTGGGGAAGGGCAGGGAGGACTTCCCGGAGGAAGGTGCCTGGCAGCCCCAGAAGGATCAATGAGAAGTCTCAGGAAGAGAATTTCAGGCAGAGGAAACAGCTCAGCCACAGGCTGGAGATCAGGCCCCAGATCATGATCAGGAAGGCCCTTGGGTGGCCAACTCAGGGGCGTGGGAGCCAGGGGAAGCATCTGAGGGGGGTGAGAGCTGTGTTAAGACTCAGTACGTCAGAGCCAGGATGGGAGGATGGCCCTGAAGACGAGCCTGGGGCAACTTAGGCGGCGCCTGAGGTCGTAGGTGCTGGGATTCCAGTCCTGGGCTGCCCCCCTCCCCAGGGACCCCAGAATGTGCCGGGATGGACTTCAGAGTTATTCACCAGCAGAGGGAGCTTGAAGTCCTTTCCAGCCAAATAATACTTGCTGATCCCTCACCTGTCCCCTGCCATCTACAAGGCGGGCCACTAAAAAGCAATCAACTAAATGCATAGTATTTAAGACAAGGAATGATGTTTGTTGAGTGACTGAGTGAATGATTAGAAGGGGGACGAGTGGTGGCCCATGCGTCATGCTGCCTGCCCTCAACCAGGGCTAGGTGTTCCTTCCTAGTCATATCCAGCATGACCCGGGGCGCACCTAAGGACCCGACTTGGCGGGAGGGTGGGGGAAACTCACTCAAAGACGACATTTCAATGGGCACCAAAAGAGAGTCTGGAAGGGTGTTCCTGGAAGAGGGCACAGCAAGGGCAATGGCTCAGAGGTGGGCGCTGATGTAGGGGCTCTGGAGGAACAGTGAGAAAGCCAGTGTGGCCGGAGCAGGGGGGGAGAGATGGGAGCACGGAGGGAGATGAGGTGGGGAGGCTGGAGGGTTTGGGCCACCCTGGGGTGTAGGGCAGGGCCCAGGTTTTATACCAAGGGCTCTAAGGAGCTACGGCAGATTTTAGAACAGGGACGTAAGTGCCTGCGTTTATGATTTGAAAAAGCCCCTCTGTGGCTTCCATGGGAGGCGAGGGCTGTCGGGGACAGGAGGGGACGTTGGGGCAGCGTCTAGATTCGGGGACATCAGGAGCCAAGGCCAGGTTCGAGCTGCAGAAGCACTAAATCTCCCCAGACTGGAGGTGAGGCACTGATTGGGGTCCCCAGCACATCGGAGGGGCCCAAGGACAGGAGTGGCGCCCGGCGGGTTCTCCAGGCCGAGGTTTCCCAGGTACCCGGGGCAAGGCCAGGAGCCCCGTAGGCACTCCTCCGCCAGTGCTGAGTGAATGACCGGGTGGTGGCGCCTGCGTGACGCGGGGGGGGGGGGGGGGGGGCCGGGGCAGGCGGTGGCTCGGGGGTGCCTCCGCGGCTGAGCCCTGGCTGGTCCCCACAGCCCCACCGGCAGCAGTCGCTATGCCTCCTCGGGGGAACTGAGCCAGGGCAGCTCGCAGCTGAGCGAGGACTTCGACCCGGACGAGCAGAGCCTGCAGGGCTCCGAGATAGAGGACGAGCGGGACCGGGACTCCTACCACTCGTGCCACAGCTCGGTCAGCTACCACAAGGACTCGCCGCGCTGGGACCAGGATGAGGAGGAGCTGGACGAGGAGCTGGACGAGGAGCTGGAGGACTTCCTGGAGGAGGAGGAGGAGGAGGAGGAGGAGGACGAGGAGCTGGAGGAGGAGGAGGAGCTGCCTGACGAGGAGGAGGAGCTGGAGGAGGAGGAGGAGGTGCCTGATGACATCCGGAGCTACGCCCAGCGGGAGGAGGTGGCCGTGGCTGAGCCCAAAGACTTCAAGCGTGTCAGCCTCCCACCGGCCGCAGCTGAGAAGGAGGATAGGCCTCCGGCCGGGCCTGCTGAAGCCCCCGATGTGACCAAGGCGGCCCCTGGGCCAGCCGCACTGGAGGAGGTGCCCACAGCGGAGCGGGCCCCTGAGCCGGAGCCCCCCAAGTCTGAGGAGAGGTAATGGGAGGGGGCCAAGGGGCTGTCGCGCGGCCAAGTGGCGCTGTGATGGGGTCAGCATGGACCCGGGGAATGGAGGGGAGGGTGTCGCAGGGTCATGGCGGGGAAAGCGGAGGGGACACTGAGGCCCGTCAGAGGGGCTACAGGTGGGTCACTGTGTCTCTGCAGGGCCAGAGAGGCCACGCAGGGCTTGACATCGCCCGGAGGGCGGAGGGTGAAGGGAGGGCCGGTCCTGGAGCCTCACGACGCCCCTTGCCTCAGTTTCAGGCGACGAGAGGATGAGGAAGGCCAGGAGGGTCAGGACTCCGTGTCCAGGGCCAAGGCCAACTGGCTTCGAGCCTTCAACAAAGTGCGGTTGCAGCTGCAGGAGGTGAGTGACAGCTGCAGCCCAATGCCCAGACCCGCTGACACCTGCCGTGGCCCGCCAGTGGACAGCGTGGCCACGCCCACTGCCCCCGGACACCCCCCCCCCCCCCCCCCCCGCCGTCCACCACGGGCTTCGCTTCGCCTTCTTACATCCTGGTCTTTCTATGGCTCCGCCCACCCCAACCTGGCCCCACCCACACCTGCCCGCGTCCTGGCCTCACCGTTCCCGGCCCAGCCCCTGTACAACCTGACCCCTCTCTGGCCCTGTTTGCACCTTGACTTCATCTGTCTCCAGAAGGGCCCTTCCCTGGTCTCCCATGACTGCCTGCCCTCCCCCCGCAACCAGCTGGCCCCACCAAGGCCCGGCCCAGCCTCCCTCGTGCCCACCTGGGATTTCTGAGGAGGGAGGAAGGAGAGGTGAGCTGAAACCTGGAGCCATGTCAGAGTCAAGCTCATGGATAGGGATAGAGGTGAGGGAGAGGGAGAGAGGTCAGAGCGAGGGCAGCAGTCAGAGATCAGAGGTCTGGGTTAACACTGGGGTTAGGGAAAGGAATCAGTGCCTGGGGTCACACTGGGTACCAGAGTCAGGGTTGGGGAAAGGTCTCAGGTCTGGTCAGTATCAGAGAAGGAATTAGGCGAAAGTATTAGCGTCAGGGTCACGCAGCAGGATTGAGGCCCCTCATTTCTCTCTTCCATTGCTCAAGCCACCCTAGGCTGGGGACAGAGCAGTGTCATTATCCAGGGGGACCATTATCCAGGGGGTGAGGCTGGCAGTAGGATATCCTAAACAGACTCTCAAGGTCTTAGACCGTCAAATGTCAGAGCCACAGACGTTTCCAGTCGAATGTCTTATGTTTTAAAATTGAAAAATTTTTTTTGACTAAGTTCTAAAAGCAAAGGGTAGAAAAGAATATGCAGTGTAAGGTCTATAGAATAACTTTCGCTACGTCAGCAATTTGAATGAAAAATAAAAAAACAGCAGCGACTCTTTGGTGGAACTCGTAATACGGCAAAAACCAAATAAACGTGGGCAGGCTCTGTGGGTCTCGTAGAAGGGGCGTAAAACAAATCCAAGGTAATCAGGAAAACTCCCTGGAGGAGGTGACACTTAAGGAGAAGTGATATCCAAAATGCTTCAATGATATTTCAGGAGAGTGCTGGACCCTCCCCACCCTTCTCCCACCATGCCACCCTTTAGTTGCATAGGAGGTAAGGGTGTCAGCTCTGGGTCTACAATGAGATCTGAAGGATCAATGGAGACAATAAATTTCATATATTTAAAAAACAAAGGATCAATGGAGGCTGATCGGGAGCAGTAGGTGGGAAGGCGTAGGAGCAAGTGGCACAGCTCAAGCAAAGGCCCTGGGGCACAAGACCAGATGAGCAGGTGAGGCCGGGAGAAGTTTAGAGAATGACAGAATCTTACGAGTGTTTAAACCAACCCCCGAGAAGCCCAGGACTATAGTGCACGGGCTCTTGTTGGAGATGATGCTAACACATCCCCACGTTTGACGGACAAGGAGACCGAGTCCTACTGAGGTGGGTGGTAGAGAGGAGCTCTTCTCTCCCCATTTCACAGATTGGGCAAACTGAGGCCCAGAGAGAGCTTAAGGACACACAGTGAGGACTAGGACCCGGGCCTCCTGACTCCCGGCCCAAAGAGGAGACAAAAGCGGGTGTGGAACCTACCTTGCTCTGGGGAGAGGCTGCCACACTGACCGTGTCTGTCTGTCTGTCTGTCACGCAGGCCCGAGGAGAAGGAGAGATGTCCAAATCCCTGTGGTTCAAAGGCGGGTGAGTAACGGAGTCGTGGGGGAAGCAGGAAGCTTTGAATCCAGAGCTCGAGACTGCTTACACCATAGCGTCAGCCCAGGGAGGATAGCCAGCCGTTCCATGGAGACAGGGGACAGCTTGAGTGACAGATCGGGTGAAATAATGTAGCCACTAGCATAAGCATTCACCCCGGACAGAAGCCAGAGAGAGTCGCACATTGAATCCCCACAACACACCCACGGGAGGACCGCTACCCCTATTTTCCAGGTGGGGAAACTGAGTCCAGAGAGGTACGTGCCTTGCCCCAGACGCTCACGTTATCCAAGATCACTTCCTCCTAGAGAAATAAGTATAAGAGAGAGGAGAAGCCTGTGCCCTGCAGCGTCCCTCTGCAATCCCGGGGTGAAGGTGTTGATCTGATTCCGTTTTTAAACATCCCAGATTATGGCTACGGTCGCTGGCTCTTTCTTTAATGGTGACCCTTTCCTTAATGACAGTTATTTGGGCGTCCGTGGAGCCTTTTGTCCTATCTAAGCGCTTACGCGGGCTTTTCTTCCTTCAGCGCCTGAGTGGAGAGGTTAGAAGATGTCAAAGATATTCTTAAACACTTACTTTTTATCTGTGGTTGTATTTATTTTGAGAGCGAGAGAGCGCGCAAGCGGGGAGGGGCGGAGAGAGAGGGGAGAGAGAATCCCAAGCAGGCTCCGCGCTGTCAGCGCAGAGCCCAACGCGGGGCTTGAGCTCCAGAAGCCGCGAGATCATGACCTGAGCTGAAATCAAGGGTCCGGTGCTTAACCGACGGAGCCACTCAGGTGCCCCTGAAAGATACTTTTTCTGCGTTTATTTATTTTTGATAGACAGAGAGAGACAGAGCACAAGTGGGGGAGGGGCAGAGAGAGAAGGAGACACAGAATCGGAAGCAGGCTCCAGGCTCCGAGATGTCGGCACAGAGCCGGACCCGGGGCTCGAACCCACGCACGGCGAGATCGTGACCTGAGCCGAAGTCGGAGGCTTAACCGTCGGAGCCACCCGGGCGCCCCTAAAAGATACTTTTAAAGTGCACTAATGTTTTCAAGTAGCAGCGGGAAGGGTGACTGCCTCTCCTTGTCCGTCCTTTGCAAACAGAGGCGCGGAGACAGACGCTGTGACTCCCAGATGAGCCGGTGCCCTTGGGGGGAGCCCCGGAAGCTGGGACTGACACGGGGATGAACACGTGATCTATGGAGGACATGCCCTCGAGAGACGCGGGCGGGGGTCAGGCTGGGGAGCCAAGCCCCCTGAGCCAAGCCCAGGTGTATTTCGGGAGTCACCAGGCCTCTGCCTGATCCTCCAGGCAGCACTGGAACATGGATGGCACCCCGGGGCTTGTCCAGAGTCACTGGCTGCCAGGCATCTCTCTCCTTGGCCAGTGGGAACCTTCTGGAGAAGAGCCACGCCTGAACCCTCTTTGGGATGTGGGCCCCTCCCAGTAAGGTGAATCCGTAAAGGCCACGGTAGCATCTCCCACAAAGTAGCTCATTCTGACCCACCAGCTACGCCAAAGCTGCGTAGCCATCAGCTTCGAAATCACTCCTTCCAGGATCGACTTTAAATATACATAGGTATTTTCAATTTTGAAATACCTATTTCAATTAGGTAGTGTCTCGTGAATGTCTTAGTTTATTCAAACTTCCATTCAAACTTCCATTCAAATTGGGCAACAGCATCATCTCCCCATTTCCCAGGTGAGGAAGTTGAGGCCCGGAGTCGTCTTCATTTCCTGGGGCTGCCGTAACACACTACCGAATGGGCAGCTTAAACCAACAGGAGAATAGTATTTTTACAGTTCTGGAGGCCAGGATTCCAAAGTCAAGTTGTTGGCTGAGCCACGCTCCCTCTGTCACTGTCACCTGTAGGGGAGACTCCTTCCCTGCCTTGCCAGCTGCTGGTAGTTGCTGGCAATCCTCAGTATTCCTTGGTTTGTAAATGTGTCGCTCTGATCTCTGTTGTCACACTGCTGTCTCTCTTTCTATAAAGACACCAGTTACATTGGATTAGGGGCCCACCCAGTCTAGCGTGAGCTCATCTTAACTAACTATATCTGCAATGACCCAGATATTCCAAATAAGGCCACCTTCTGAGGTACTAGGGGCTAGGATTTAAAGGTATCTTTTTGGGAGACACCATTCAACCTTTAATAGCCCCCGGGGAGATCAAGTGTCCTGCCCAGGCCTCCAGTGATGTCTGTTGGAGACAGGGAGACGCCTGGGCCCTTGACATCCCCGTGTGTGTCTTACAGACCTGGCGGTGGCCTCATCATCATTGACAGCATGCCGGACATCCGCAAGAGGAAGCCCATTCCACTCGTGAGCGACCTGGTGAGCGCCTGTGCCCTCTCCTCCCCCAGCAGAGCAGGCCTGCCATAAGCAGTGCTCAACCTGTACAACTGCCCATGGCAGACCTGGGGCTGGGGGCTGGCAAGGTGTTCCCTGGGACTAATGTAATCTGATTTCTACCCTGCCTGCTGCATGGACACTTCAGGCCATGGTGAGTGGTAGTGACCTGAGCCCCCATCTCTTCCTCAGCCCCCCCCCCCATTAGGATCTTCCAACTGGCCCCCAATGCATGGGTTCCGGGGTGAGGGGACCCTGCCCTGTCCTACAGTTTCTGGGTGGGGAAGAGAGCAGGTGACTCCCGATCTTGGTTCCTGGAGTGGCTGGTAGTTTTGCTCTGTGGCTGCTGATCGTGGCCAAATGCAGCTCCTGAGTCTGGTTCCTGGTGGTGGGGGGATGGGTGAGTCAGGGGTGTGAGGCTGCTCACCTTCCAGGGTCCCTTCTAACCCAGAGCCTCTGTCACTTTCCAATTCTTCACTGGCCCTCCTCCTGCTGCTATTTGTGGCCGTGGCTGCAATCCGTCGCTGGCGGCCCCAAACCATGGCTGTGGATTCTGCTCGTGGTGACAACCCTACGGGTGTGAATCGACCCCGGTGACTCCCTTGGTGATTTCCCTGCCCCAGTCCCTGGTCCAGTCCAGAAAAGCGGGCATCACCTCCGCCTTGGCCTCCAGCACTTTGAACAACGAGGAGCTGGTGCGTGGGGCGCCTCCCCTTCCACGGGGGGTGGGCTGGGGGCTCCGGGGAGGAAGAGGAGGAGAGCGTGGCAGGGACGGGCACTCCTCCCTCCCCACGATCTGGTTGCGCTGCGTCCGGCCGACATGATCTGTGCCCCGGAACCGTGGATTCCGACGGTGTGGGGGCAGGGGAAGGGACGGGGACTTTACTACACTCAGCGAGGGGGTGAGGGTGGCGCAGGACAGCGCCCGATGCCGCCCCTCTCTCTCCGCTCAGAAAAACCACGTTTACAAGAAGACCCTGCAAGCCTTAATCTACCCCATCTCCTGCACGACGCCGCACAACTTCGAGGTGTGGACGGCCACCACACCCACCTACTGCTACGAGTGCGAGGGGCTGCTGTGGGGCATCGCGCGGCAGGGCATGCGCTGCACGGAGTGCGGCGTCAAGTGCCACGAGAAGTGCCAGGACCTGCTCAACGCAGATTGCCTGCAGCGTGAGCGTGGGGCTGGAGGAGCGGGGCTCCGGGGAGGGGCGGGGTTACGTGGGGGCGGGGCTCCGGGGAGGGACGGGGCTCCGTGGGGGCGGGGCTCCGCAGAGGGACGGGGCTCCGCGGGGGCGGGGCTCCGCGGGGGCGGGGCAAGAAGAGGGGAGGGACTCGTTGGCCGCAGGAGTGGGGCGAGAGGAGGGGAAAGGGGGCGTGAGGGGGTCAGAGAGGGGTGGGGAGAGACTCTGGGACTAAACTGTCCGAGGGTGGGCTTACTGACAGCGGTTCCCCTGGAGAAAAATGGGTTAGAGAGGGGGCTCAGAGAGGGAGGGGGCTCTGAGTGGGGGGGAGGAGCCAGGGAAGGGGCGGGGTCTTGGTGGAGCGCTAGGGTTTAGCGCGGTCCCCTAGCGCCCCAAGGTGGGTACTACGCGGAGAAGGAGTAGGAGGGTGCAGACAGCATGTCGAAATCTCTAGCAGCTCTAGCTTTGGGGCGTGAGTCACCTGAACCCCCACGGCTCTAAGTGCTCTTGGCCGCAGCCCAGGAAGCTGAGGAGTGGGAGTTGGGGTTCTCGCTCCGGTGAGGGGGCGCGCTCTGGACCGTGACTGCTCTCTGCGTCCACAGGGGCTGCAGAGAAGAGCTCCAAGCACGGGGCGGAGGACCGGACGCAGAACATCATCATGGTGCTCAAGGACCGCATGAAGATCCGGGAGCGGAACAAACCTGAGATCTTCGAGCTCATCCAGGAGATCTTCGCCGTGACCAAGACCGCGCATACGCAGCAGATGAAGGCGGTCAAGCAGAGCGTGCTGGACGGCACGTCCAAGTGGTCGGCCAAGATCAGCATCACTGGTGAGGCCGCGGGGGTGGGGGTGGCCACGGGGTCCCTTCTTCTCAGCCCCCTGTGCTCCCTCCTATGGCTCTTCCTTTGGCTGTGTGTAGTGTGTCCATATCTGTCCCATGTCCCTAGGTGTGTTTGTGCTCCCGCGGTGGGCATGTGTGCCTCCAAATGGGAGTGCATGACGCTGTCTGCATGAGTCTTGGTTTGTGCCCCACCCCACCCCCAGAATCAGACCCCAAGAAGAAGAGTTGAGGGCACGTTGTTTATCTAGGGGGTGATGCCGTGGGAGTTGAGAAGTGAGCCTGGGACGGAAGGAGCCCTACACAGGGTGTCAACGATCAGGACCACTGGGGGACAGTGCTGACCACTGGGGGCAGAAGGGTCCTGTCCGGGTGGAGGCCTTCGGGTGTTCATCCATGCCCAACCTCATTCGAATTTCCCTGAAAGCAGACCCCAAGATGAGGATTTCGGGGCAGATGGGTATCCAGAAGGTGGCCCCAGGAAGCCCCAGTGTGGGTGGAGACATGAGTCTGGGAGCAGGAAGAGAAGGAGCCCTGCAGGGGACCCCAATAAACAGGCAGCTCTGAGAGCAACTGTAGGCTCAATCCTGCTGGAAATTTCAGGAGGACAATGTACAGAATGTCTTACCCAGGGGTGACCCAGGGCAACCTTCCCATCCAGCATCAGCCGAGGACTCCGGGGGTGTTAACTCTTCAGGAAGCCCTTCCTGTCTTGTGGGCGTCCCCATGGGCTCCCATGGTCAGAACAAAGCCCTCAGGCCATGTCGCAGGTGTCCCCAATAAGCAGCAGGGAACCTGTGGCAGTGACTCTTCTCCGTACGCCTCACTCCTTGAGCCCGTATTTGTATTTGTCCTGTGTGTCTTCCAGTGGTCTGTGCCCAGGGCTTGCAGGCAAAGGACAAGACGGGATCCAGTGACCCCTATGTCACTGTCCAGGTTGGGAAGACCAAGAAACGGACGAAAACCATCTATGGGAACCTGAACCCTGTGTGGGAGGAGAACTTCCACTTGTAAGTGCCTGGCTGAACCCCTGGCCGCCCAGGTGGACTCCCTGCTGGAGCAGCCAAAGGGGGCTCCAAGACCAGCCACCTGACCCCCGCCTCTGCCTCCCCTCCCCCCCCCCCCCGCAGTGAATGTCACAACTCCTCAGACCGAATCAAGGTGCGTGTCTGGGACGAGGATGATGACATCAAATCCCGTGTAAAGCAGCGGTTTAAGAGGGAATCCGATGACTTCCTGGGACAGACGATCATCGAGGTGCGGACACTCAGCGGCGAGATGGACGTGTGGTACAACCTGGGTGAGCATGGGTGGTGTCCTGCAAGGGGACAGGGAGGGTGCCCCAGGGGGCCCAAGTGGGGAACCAGTGCCAGGAGGAGGTAGTCTAGGAGCCCAGTCTGATGGAAAAGGTAGGGTCTGTGTGTCCCAATCTGATGGGGGAATCAGGATCTGTGAGGCCCAGTCTGATGGGGGAGGAAGGGTCTTCCGTGAGGCCCAG